ACATATGGGCGTTTGTATGTAAATACACTGCTTGCCAGTCTCACGCTTTCTCTGAGTTAGTCAGGATTCAGTAGTCGCCTTTCACCTTTCTCTGTTATAAGTTCTTCAAGAACGACGAAATTCGGTAGTTTGGTGTCGTTACACACATGCACGCACATCCATCACGTCAGGCCAATGCATTTGTTGGAAGTGCGTCAAAGCACTACGACGCCAAGTATGCACAGCAGCGAAAGAAAATAAGCCACCGGTCTGCCAAATTCAAAGTACATACAGTGTACATGATTGCAGCACAGCGGCATCCGTACACTGTCCTGCAGACAAACTGCACGTGCACTGTCTGAAAGAACAGTGCGAACCGGTTCTGCGCCCAGCCCATTACCAGCAGTGTGTGGGCCACGCAACATGTGCTTGGTGTAAGTCGAGGCTCACACCAGAACACAGGTGGAAGTCACCAAACTTTCAGCTTGCAGAGCATGTGTTGCGTTGCATGCACAACGTCAGGATTTCAGAGAGAGAGAGAGAGAGAGAGAGAGAGAGAGAGAGAGAGAGAGAGAGAGAGAGAGAGAGAGAGAGAGAGAGAGAGAGAGAGAGAGAGAGAGAGAGAGAGAGAGAGGGAGAGAGAGAGAGAGAGAGAGAGAGAGAGAGAGAGAGAGAGAGAGAGAGAGAGAGAGAGAGAGAAAGAGAGAGAGAGAGAGAGAGAGAGAGAGAGAGAGAGAGAGAGAGGGGAGAGAGAGAGAGAGAGAGAGAGAGAGAGAGAGAGAGAGAGAGAGAGAGAGAGAGAGAGAGAGAGAGAGAGAGAGAGAGAGAGAGAGAGAGGAGAGGGAGAGAGAGAGAGAGAGAGAGAGAGAGAGAATGAGAGTGAGAGTGAGAGTGAGAGTGAGAGTGAGAGTGAGAGAGAGAGAGAGAGAGAGAAGAGAGAGAGAGAGAGAGAGAGAGAGAGAGAAGAGAGAGAGAGAGAGAGAGAGAGAGAGAGAGAGAGAGAGAGAGAGAGGGAGGGAGGGAGGGAGGCAGGGGAGGGAGGGAGGGAGGGAGGCAGGGAGAGGAGGGAGGAGGGAGGGAGGGAGGCAGGAGGGAGGGGAGGGAGGAGGGAGGGAGGGAGGAGGAGGGAGGGAGAGAGAGAGAGAGAGAGAGAGAGAGAGTGTGCGAGAGAGAGATAGAGAGAGAGATGGATTTTGTAGACACTGCTACCAAAAGCAAATTGACATGCTCCCTGCCGACAATGCACAAGCACAGACCACCAATTGCGAAGCATCATCTCTCAATACAGCACGGAAGGTGCCGAGAGTGATTTTCCCAGTATAGTCATTGCCGCTACAGCACAGGAATTGCTGGACAAGGGTGCCGTATTGTTGACGACAGTGCACGATTGGTATACAGAGACTTTGCACCCAACTGCTGACCCAAAGCCAGCGGCATACGTCCTCTGCAAATTGAAGTTGACCCTGGAGCACAACTTGCACGTCATTCCACCCAAGTCGCGGAAGGATGGCACAGTGCTGCTACGCAATGATGTAATGCTGAGCAGGCACAACATATGATCATTTCTGCAGAGCGTAAACACAAGATAGAGCAAAAACCAACAAAGCTGGAACACCCCACTCTGCCATGCTCACAGCACAATTGATAGCCAGCAACCGAATGATACATGTACTTCACAAGTACTGTCAACTGCGCTGATAATGACTGCGGATATAACGACAATTCGCGAATAACGAGAGAATTTCCATGCCCAGAGCAGTGTCACATCTAACTGTAATGCATACAATGAGACTTCGGGTATAAGGACACTTCGCGAATAAGGACACTTTTCTGATGCCCCGCCGGGTGTCGTTGACTGTACACAACATGATAACCCATTTACACCAAGTTCTATTATCGGGCAATGCCATTATGCTCCTAGCACGCGGCACAAGAACATTGTAGAGCTTCGCCGGCATTGCCTTGATTTTGTCCTAATGTGATGGTGTGTGCGTGCGTGTGTGTGTGCGTTCGTGTGTGTGTGGTGTTTGTGTGGTGTGTGTGTGCGTGCGTGCGTGCGTGCGTGCGTGTGTGTGTGTGTGTACATTACATATTGCCCTCTCAACAACATATAAATAAACTCGGATGGCTAGCCAATGTAATCATGGGTAAAAAGAATAAGGCCAAAATGTTACCAGTTATGACTAACTGTCCACCGTGTACCAATGTAGCTAGATCACATACAGTCGGCGAGTGCGACAAAAAGGCACAAACCGACAGGGAATACTAAGACATGCAACGCCCGAATAATATTCAAGTTAATTTTGACCTGGAAAGAAATGTCTATAATTTCGTGCCGTCGAATTAACAAAACATGCAACGAAAGGAAAGGTATACACGCTTAGACATATATTATTAGGCAATTTTCTGCACCAACCTGCATTCCGGCCGAAGCATCATGTCGGGGGTGGTGGGTCGGCATTCCAACGTATCTCCACACACCAGGAAAATCGTGAAGCGAGAATTCCCTCGTCTGCAACTGGCAAAGTCTTCACTTGACACTGAAGTTGAAATTTCTAGATACTTAGCTAATAGGAGCAGACTTCAGGACATTTGTCGCACTCAGGAATCGTCAGTGGACCGTATGCGTGTTAAAACAAAATGGCGTCACGATTTATTGAAAGTGGTATAGTTGGTGGTACGAGTGTTCAAACCCATTTGAACTTCATACTGTTCGTCTTCTTTTTGACATGCTCTCTTTCCATCGTCCTTAGCTTTTGTTTGTTGAGAGCTGTTTTGGCTTTCTCCTATACGTCTGGGGGATGCCAAGTGATGGTTTTGAGAGGCTGATGATGGCTGTGAGCGAGAGTTTGCCGATCGGCGTCGTCCTCGCTATAGCGATGAAAATACTAGTTACTGCGCACCTGGCAGATATCACAACACGTCGGAGCGTCCAGGAGCAAAGGAATCTTGGTTTTCACTGGAATCTAGTTCCTCCAGCATCGTGAAGCCCACCGTCGGTGAATGGTGGTCCAGAAAGGTTGAACCTGGTCTTCTGCAGCATCTCGCAGTCCTGCGAGGCACACTGAATACGCCTGTCATGTATTCTACTTGAAGTTCAAGTACAAATAAAAATCACGAAGTAGTGGACTTTACAGTGATGAGTGTATCCTGTATGCTGCAAAAGACGCAGGAAATGTGACTGGTGTCCGTACACTGGACGCCAATATCATCCCAGTCTTCTCCTACAGGATCTGTTTGACATTGACATACCGGTATGCAGTGGGTCGACATTGGCCTGGTTTGGCAGCTATCTGCCTGGGTGGATGTAGCAGGATTGCATTGGCACATCGTCCAGTCCGACATTTTCTTGTAACTGTGGAGTACCGGCAGGGTTTGAGAAGTTGCTCGTGCTGTGAACACATCTCTACTGGCTTCCAGTTCTGCTGAGTAATCAGTGGCTTGCGCATGTTTCAGCCAAAGCATTTCCGCGGTCTGAAGTTCGTCAACCGATAAGTATTGTGATGTTGGACGAGACTTTCTCGCTGACTTTATGAAACGCTATGCCCATGCTGTAACCCTGATCACTTTCGCGAAGGATGATGATTTCTCAATATGAATACCAGCCGGTGGGGGGTTGCTCGCCTGTTGCTCCGCAGGACCCTCCCCGGACAAAGCGGCGTGAACGACTTCTTCTTGACAAGGATCAGTATCCGGTGCCCATTGTATGTCCGCCAGCCACTCGGGTCCTGTCCACCACAGATTACTCTTGAGGAGGGTTGCAGTCGTGGTGCCTCGTGAGAGTTGATCGGCAGGATTGCTTCTTGTGTTCACATAACAGAATTGTACGTCTTCATTGCGGCGGATTTCTGCGCCCTTATGTGCTACGAACGTCGGCAGATCCTTGCCCTTCCTTTTCACCCATCCTAGCACACATTGAGAATCTGACCACAAGTAAGTAGTGAGCTGAAGAGGGAGTTCTTTCCGTAAGAAGTTGATCATTCGAGCACCTAGCGTGGCTGCGAGTAACTCCAACCTTGGTATTGTTGTTTCCTTTCACGGTGCCACACGAGACTTAGCGAAGAGTAAACGAACAGACACGTTCATCGTAGATACGCCACAGCTCCGTAGCCTGCCTTTGATGCGTCACAGAAAACATGGAGCTCATACCTTGGTGCAACGTTGGAGGTGAAACTCGCAAGTCTTGGTATTCTGGTTTTGCTGGCTGTGGATAAGTCATGAGCTATCTCATGCCACTCTGTAAGAATAGCTGCTGGCAAGACATCGTCCCAATTGCACTTCAGTTTCCAGATCTCCTGAAGTAGAACCTTCGCGCGGAATACGATAGGCGAATAGATTCCCAGTGGATCGTAGAACGATGATAACACGCTCAGCATGTGTCGCTTCGTCTGAACGTTTTTGAGTTCAGCTGGGTTTGGAGTGAGCCCTAGCTCATCCCAGTTTGTGTCCCACTCCATTCCAAGGACCTTGACGAGTTGAGCGATTGTGGGATCGCTCTCGGGGATCTGCTGCTTGAGGGACTCGGAGTTTGTCGCCCACTCCCGTAGATTCATTGATGCATGAGCGAAGATGCCCTTGACTTCTCGATAGTAGTCTACTGCGTCTTCTACGCTTTCCGCTCCGTCGAGGACATTGTCGACGTAAGTGTTATTCTCTACAGCCTGCGATTACGTGTTCTCTGAAGAACTGATGTGGTGTCGTATGGTGGCACCAAGCAAGAATGGACTTGCGATTACGCCAAAGGGGATGCGGCAGAATCTGTAGATGACGATGTTGTCCCCTCTGGGAGGCTTGTTGGGGTCTCGAACCCAAAGTAAGCGTGTGACATTGCGGTCACGGACATGTAAGCCGACTTGCAAGAATGCCTTCTCGATATCGCTGCTCATTGCTATGGGATTCAAACGAAAGCGAAGGAGGATGCCGCAAAGGTCTGGCAGCAGCACTGGGCCTCTGTGGATGCACTCGTTAAGTGACTTGTTGCCTTCCTTCGTCTTGGCAGATGCGTCGTACACTACGCGTATCTACGTCGTCTTGGCGCTCGGCTTGACTACACAGTGGTGTGGTATGTAGTGATGTATGCTGCTTTCTGTGTTGTTGTCAGTGTGACTGCCATTGTTGTTGTCACTGCGTATTTCGCTGCTAGAGTCGTTGACTTCTTCAATCACACCCATTTCCATTTGTCCCAGTATCGTTTCGTGATACTTCGCGAGTACTTCTGGTGTTTTTTCCATTCTGTGCATGAGAGATTTCAATCTACCTTTGGCCAAATCCAAGTTCTCTGGTAGGCAAGTTTCTGGGTCTAATTTCCATGGCCATGACACTACATAACGACCATTAATGAACTCAACATTTGCATTGAAGTTGTCGTACGCTAGGGTGTCATCTGTGACTCCATTATCTTCATCTATGCCAATCTGCTCTAGCTTCCAGAATTTCTGTAGGTCGAAATCTGGATGTTGTACTTCGCTTTCAACAGACGTGCACATTGCATGGATCTCTGGCATTGAATCATGTTGGTCTGCTTTACCCGTCGGGATGAAACCCAGTTTGGTGTCAAGCATTACAATCCCATTTCCCAATTTCAAGTGCTCCAGACCCACAAATTCAAAGTACTGGTCGCTCCCAATTAGTATGTCAATCGGAGCCTGGGTGCTTTCAATGCCAAGGGGCTCAGCTAGTGGCAATTTTGCAATGGCTGGATATTTCGACAAATCTAACGGAGCCATATTCATTGGACAAGGGATGTGGTCAGTGATATTTGCAGATATCGGTTGGAAGGATCCATCACGCAATTTGACTTGTAACTCTACCCTAGGGTAAGTGCGAGTTGTTCTGGTCTTGGAACCAAACCCGGCTACTGCCAAAACATCTTGACTAACTGGTTTACTGTGTAGTGAGGTAGTGACATTTCTGTGCACAAATGAACGGGACGACCCAGTGTCGAACAAGATGCGTGCGTTGCAAGGGTGGTCACCATTCTGGATTTCTGCCATTGCTGTTTGCATTAGTACCACATTGCTCTGGGAGTAAACTTCTTTTGTTGCATGTACGTCAGCCACAGGCGGACTTATCTCTGCATTGCAAGATTGAACATGGTTGGCTTTGCACTTTTGATTTCTCGTGCCTTTGGATCTAGCCTGGATTGTGGATCAAATTTCTTCATGCATAATGACCGGTGATGCCCACGTTTCCCACAATGGTAGCATGTACGTGCACCAGCTCTGCAATCTGCTGCACTATGTCCTTTCCTCAGGCATACGAAACATTCATTTGTGATTTTCCCTTTCCGTTTCTTATACGTTGGATATGCTGGGCATTCATCCGTGTAGTGTGACCCTCCACTGGGCCCCGGCGGATAATGCTCGGGAATTAGGCCCATTCTGCTTTTCATTATGCTCGCATTCTGCTCACAAAACACCCACATTCTGCTCAATTCTGCTCCATGTCAGTGATGACATGTACATTAGAGTATTACTTGAACTTCATTATAGATCAATGTAATACAAAAGACAAGTTCCTCTTTTCTTGTACAAGTGGTGCGGCAAGAATTTTAAAGCAGAGGAATGCCTTAGGTGTTTTACAGATCTAGAGGTCAGCAAAGTAGGAAATAGACCTGCGAACGGGTACCCGTTCATCGCGGTGGTGAGTCTGAACAGACCCCGAGGTACGACAGCTTCGTATTAATGTGTACAGTGCGTATGGTGAAACAAGTCGATACTGGTTTCCAGCGAAATGTTGTTATCTATGTACCAATATCCTTTATCTAGGGCCCAAAGGCTATCCAGTTCACCAGGATTTGTGGCCTTACTATTTTTCGTTTTCTCCGCGTTTTGGGTTGAAATCTGAACATAAAAAGTAGCACTGATGACGTCATTCAGCTCATAATTTAAATTTGATATTGGAAATCGATGACAACTAACCCAATGTATCACCACAGAAAATTTGGTTGAAAAATATTAATGTATGCCAAAGTTATTACCAATACAAGTTTTGTACACACATGATCACCTTATTATACCTGAGCAGAGTTCTATTTTTCAGATGCACCTTTTTGTGCACTTTTCTCAAGGCATTCTCAACATATGGGCGTTTGTATGTAAATACACTGCTTGCCAGTCTCACGCTTTCTCTGAGTTAGTCGTCGCACTCGAGGATTCAGTAGTCGCCTTTCACCTTTCTCTGTTATAAGTTCTTCAAGAACGACGAAATTCTGTAGTTTGGTGTCGTTACACACATGCACGCACATCCATCACGTCAGGCCAATGCATTTGTTGGAAGTGCGTCAAAGCACTACGACGCCAAGTATGCACAGCAGCGAAAGAAAATAAGCCACCGGTCTGCCAAATTCAAAGTACATACAGTGTACATGATTGCAGCACAGCGGCATCCGTACACTGTCCTGCAGACAAACTGCACGTGCACTGTCTGAAAGAACAGTGCGAACCGGTTCTGCGCCCAGCCCATTACCAGCAGTGTGTGGGCCACGCAACATGTGCTTGGTGTAAGTCGAGGCTCACACCAGAACACAGGTGGAAGTCACCAAACTTTCAGCTTGCAGAGCATGTGTTGCGTTGCATGCACAACGTCAGGATTTCAGAGAGAGAGAGAGAGAGAGAGAGAGAGAGAGAGAGAGAGAGAGAGAGAGAGAGAGAGAGAGAGAGAGAGAGAGAGAGAGAGAGAGAGAGAGAGAGAGAGAGAGAGAGAGAGAGAGAGAGAGAGAGAGAGAGAGAGAGAGAGAGAGAGAGAGAGAGAGAGAGAGAGAGAGAGAGAGAGAGAGAGAGAGAGAGAGAGAGAGAGAGAGAGAGAGAGAGAGAGAGAGAGAGAGAGAGAGAGAGAGAGAGAGAGAGAGAGAGAGAGAGAGAGAGAGAGAGAGAGAGAGAGAGAGAGAGAGAGAGAGAGAGAGAGAGAGAGAGAGAGAGAGAGAGAGAGAGAGAGAGAGAGAGAGAGAGAGTGAGAGTGAGAGTGAGAGTGAGAGTGAGAGAGAGAGAGAGAGAGAGAGAGAGAGAGAGAGAGAGAGAGAGAGAGAGAGAGAGGGAGGGAGGGAGGGAGGCAGGGAGGGAGGGAGGGAGGGAGGCAGGGAGGGAGGGAGGGAGGGAGGGAGGCAGGGAGGGAGGGAGGCAGGGAGGGAGGGAGGGAGGGAGGGAGGGAGGGAGGGAGAGAGAGAGAGAGAGAGAGAGAGAGTGTGCGAGAGAGAGATAGAGAGAGAGATGGATTTTGTAGACACTGCTACCAAAAGCAAATTGACATGCTCCCTGCCGACAATGCACCAAGCACAGACCACCAATTGCGAAGCATCATCTCTCAATACAGCACGGAAGGTGCCGAGAGTGATTTTCCCAGTATAGTCATTGCCGCTACAGCACAGGAATTGCTGGACAAGGGTGCCGTATTGTTGACGACAGTGCACGATTGGTATACAGAGACTTTGCACCCAACTGCTGACCCAAAGCCAGCGGCATACGTCCTCTGCAAATTGAAGTTGACCCTGGAGCACAACTTGCACGTCATTCCACCCAAGTCGCGGAAGGATGGCACAGTGCTGCTACGCAATGGATGTAATGCTGAGCAGGCACAACATATGATCATTTCTGCAGAGCGTAAACACAAGATAGAGCAAAAAACCAACAAAGCTGGAACACCCCACTCTGCCATGCTCACAGCACAATTGATAGCCAGCAACCGAATGATACATGTACTTCACAAGTACTGTCAACTGCGCTGATAATGACTGCGGATATAACGACAATTCGCGAATAACGAGAGAATTTCCATGCCCAGAGCAGTGTCACATCTAACTGTAATGCATACAATGAGACTTCGGGTATAAGGACACTTCGCGAATAAGGACACTTTTCTGATGCCCCGCCGGGTGTCGTTGACTGTACACAACATGATAACCCATTTACACCAAGTTCTATTATCGGGCAATGCCATTATGCTCCTAGCACGCGGCACAAGAACATTGTAGAGCTTCGCCGGCATTGCCTTGATTTTGTCCTAATGTGATGGTGTGTGCGTGCGTGTGTGTGTGCGTTCGTGTGTGTGTGGTGTTTGTGTGGTGTGTGTGTGCGTGCGTGCGTGCGTGCGTGCGTGTGTGTGTGTGTGTACATTACATATTGCCCTCTCAACAACATATAAATAAACTCGGATGGCTAGCCAATGTAATCATGGGTAAAAAGAATAAGGCCAAAATGTTACCAGTTATGACTAACTGTCCACCGTGTACCAATGTAGCTAGATCACATACAGTCGGCGAGTGCGACAAAAAGGCACAAACCGACAGGGAATACTAAGACATGCAACGCCCGAATAATATTCAAGTTAATTTTGACCTGGAAAGAAATGTCTATAATTTCGTGCCGTCGAATTAACAAAACATGCAACGAAAGGAAAGGTATACACGCTTAGACATATATTATTAGGCAATTTTCTGCACCAACCTGCATTCCGGCCGAAGCATCATGTCGGGGGTGGTGGGTCGGCATTCCAACGTATCTCCACACACCAGGAAAATCGTGAAGCGAGAATTCCCTCGTCTGCAACTGGCAAAGTCTTCACTTGACACTGAAGTTGAAATTTCTAGATACTTAGCTAATAGGAGCAGACTTCAGGACATTTGTCGCACTCAGGAATCGTCAGTGGACCGTATGCGTGTTAAAACAAAATGGCGTCACGATTTATTGAAAGTGGTATAGTTGGTGGTACGAGTGTTCAAACCCATTTGAACTTCATACTGTTCGTCTTCTTTTTGACATGCTCTCTTTCCATCGTCCTTAGCTTTTGTTTGTTGAGAGCTGTTTTGGCTTTCTCCTATACGTCTGGGGGATGCCAAGTGATGGTTTTGAGAGGCTGATGATGGCTGTGAGCGAGAGTTTGCCGATCGGCGTCGTCCTCGCTATAGCGATGAAAATACTAGTTACTGCGCACCTGGCAGATATCACAACACGTCGGAGCGTCCAGGAGCAAAGGAATCTTGGTTTTCACTGGAATCTAGTTCCTCCAGCATCGTGAAGCCCACCGTCGGTGAATGGTGGTCCAGAAAGGTTGAACCTGGTCTTCTGCAGCATCTCGCAGTCCTGCGAGGCACACTGAATACGCCTGTCATGTATTCTACTTGAAGTTCAAGTACAAATAAAAATCACGAAGTAGTGGACTTTACAGTGATGAGTGTATCCTGTATGCTGCAAAAGACGCAGGAAATGTGACTGGTGTCCGTACACTGGACGCCAATATCATCCCAGTCTTCTCCTACAGGATCTGTTTGACATTGACATACCGGTATGCAGTGGGTCGACATTGGCCTGGTTTGGCAGCTATCTGCCTGGGTGGATGTAGCAGGATTGCATTGGCACATCGTCCAGTCCGACATTTTCTTGTAACTGTGGAGTACCGGCAGGGTTTGAGAAGTTGCTCGTGCTGTGAACACATCTCTACTGCCTGTCTCGTCCTGGAAGTGCCGTCTCGCCGCTTCCTTGCTCTACAGTCACGCCGTTATTTCGCTTTGTTTCGTGGTGCAGCTCAAAACCTGCCCAAACAACTGTGAGCTCGCAACATGGTATGGACAAATTGCACCACTCAGCTGGTTAACTAAAACCGGGATATCGAGTAAGCGAGTTCACTCCCTGGGCCATGGCAAAATCTGTTCAGCGCGGGCTATTCCAACCTCCAAGTCCATAATCACCGATCGATCCATGCGATGGTGGTTGACCTACAAAGAGCCAAGGTC